TGGGTTTTGTTTTGTTTTGCTTAGTTCTTGTTCTGCTTTGGGTTTTTTTGTTAGTTGGGGGGGGGGGGGGGGGGGAAAAAAAAAAATTTTTTTTTTTTTTTTTTTTTTTTTTTTTTTTATTTCTTTAGGAGGGGGGGGGGGGGGGGAGACGAAAGGAAGAAATCGATTTTGTTTTTGAGTTTGTTTGTTTCTTTTGGATTTCCCCTGTCGGCTTAGACGTGGTGACTGCTTCGAGATTATTATGCTTTCTTTCGTGTCTCCTTTCTGCCTTTATTTAACTAAGTTGGCATCATCGTTGGACCATGGAGCATGGGCTTTGGTTCACATCTGTAATGAGCGGTTCTGAACTTAATATTATTAGGAAGTTTTTAAGGATCTCCACCCGCTTGGTCGTTTTTTATCGGTGATGGGCGTTAAATTCAGAGGTCATCATCACCATCATTGCTTTTTTTCACCCTGGGTCAGGATATAGGCTACGAACAAACACTCTTTCCACCTTTTCCTATCCTGGGCTAGTCGCTTGATGTCACCCCATGTCTTCCCACTTTTCTGTACATCTATTTGCGTGACTGTTCTCCAGGTCCCACGTGTTCTTCCCCTTGATCGTTTACCCTGTGGGTTCCAATATATCACTTTCCTTGTTATCGGCTGCTTGACTTCCAGAAAGTGTGTCCAATCCATCGCCAACGCCTTCTTCCGCTGTCCTTCATTTTTCCTGCTGATACAGAAGCTCCTCCGTCTGCCAAGATGGAAAAAATAATAAGGCGCGTTTGTTCGTGTTCCTATAACTTAAATTCAGAGGTCCCACACCTTAAATGATCTTACAGTGTAGAAAAGAGCGTTAAACATGGTATACAATGACTAATGACCTTTCTGCCTGCTCAACTCTCCTGTCTGGCTGGGCCCTAAAGAAGCCAAAAGACGGAATAGATAAAAATCAATCAAATGAGTGGAATTTAATTAAAACAAAGGGAAAGGGGACATGATGGGGAGAAAAAAA